TGTTATATTGAACGGACTTGAGCCTCGAGTAACACAATGTCTCGCTCACTCTTGTGTGTGTTATCTCTGTTGCAGATAATAGAATTGTAGTATTGTGGACCATTACAATTGTTATAGTTTTGTAGGCATTCACAGGTCTTGCTATGTGGAGCCTTCACACGTGTGTAGTCATGTCGAAGTTGGACCGGATAGTCCAACACCTGACGCCTGCAAAATGGAGGAATTCAGTGCGAACGTTATATCTGATGCTAAAAGAATCAGCTACTTGTGGCACAAAATTTTCGTAAATATCCGGTATTAGGAGACAAGTTCTCCTGTGGGGGGTCTGACAATACATTTGATATGCATATAATGAAAACTTGAATGTATTTAAATTGTTCTGAATGCAATATTAAAGGTTCCCAAGAATTATTATAAATAAATTTCGGCTAGATCCTTATGTAGATTAGAGCGATCATTGCGTAATGATTTATTTTTTGGTGTTTTAGTGCAATTGGTGCACTAATATATCTGGCTAAGAACATGAGTATAATTATGCTAGCAAGATATAGTGTTTTATTTCAAATGTGGAGATATTGTGATACAATTAAGTATTATATTTCAAAAGGAATACTTGATTTAGATTTGTTTTATTCTAACCAATATCGCCAAGTTTTGTTGGTTATGCAAATTGCAGGCATTTTCTGAGTTCGTTCTTCAAACAATTCCTATTTGCATGTGAGAGTACTGCCATATTATCATATAACAAGCAGTTAATTGCTGATCTTATTCAGTCATGCAAGATAAAGCAACTTAATTAAGCAAAGGGGCTCACACACACAGACGTGTGACTGACTTTGAAGAGAAGATTCTATAACACTGAAGATATGTTTTGTTTTGCTTAATCAATTGAAGAAGGACTATCGAAGGAGACAAAACAAATAGCACATTCACCAAGTTCTTCAACAAAATTTGTTTTCAGTGATAATTGACAAACTTCTTTCTTCACAGCATTGCGGATCTCTATATTAGAAAGTTGTTAAATAGCAAGCTTGGAATTCGTCGTTCGAAGAATAAAGTGATTGTCTTCATCAGGGGGAGGCAATACGCGCTGTACTCTTTTTTTCTAGCTAAGAATTTTTCACGGGTTTTTTCTGGAAAGGTTTTTAATGAGGCAGCAAATATGCGTATTAGAAGATATGTTTGTATCTTTTTCCTTCACTAACAGATTTTTTTCCAGGATTTTTTCTTAGTAAGGGTTTTACGAGGCACATTATCTAATAGACATTCAAGGGGGAGTGGTTATGAAATATATTTTGTTGGATGTCCTATAACTCTAAAGAATTACTCCCTATTCTCACATTATAGGTTGTAACTCCACACCTCATAATCCGCATGATCTTCCTCTGTCTCAAATGTTTAATGTCATGTTTATGGCATTCTTTGTATGCCTCTATGTAATCCTAATAAAATAGGCATAGATGTTTTGGCAATCACATTGTATAACATGAATACATAGAAGCAATAAGATTCTCCCCTTCTCTCCTCTCTACAATTGTTTTGTTTTTTATTGTTACTATCTTGTTACTTGAGCTAAGTTCGTAAGACGAGTACGGCAATAAGGTGTCTGTTTGCAATAATTTAGATACAATGATTAGTCTTTTACCCGAACAGGTGTCTCTTAGGCCTGTTTTCTGGTGCAGTCTTTTTCTCCGAAGTACCCACCCAGAAACAAGCAACAAAAAGAGAACGTTCTCCTTAAATTGGAAATCGCTAGACCTGCTAGGGGAATTGGAAAAATAACACCAATATTAAACACAAGTAGGAGATAATGCTTTGAATACCTGTAGGTCGTCTTTAGAGTCTATGTAGAGTTTACATTAGTACGAGTGTCGATGCCTAGAGAGTCTCGTCTTCAGTGAACAATATATAGGATACCAGTCGGTAGATTGTGATATACGCAATGAATACTGAGTATTAAACTAGCAGATGAAGGGATTCCTTGGATTTACATAAGATAGTGAAAATGTAAGAACGCTTTTTTCGAGTACACAGTCCTGCGAAGCAGGTTTAATATGGCCTCACATTTTTCTTGTATAACGATGGTAGATTAAAAAGTGTAAGAGATTTCTGATATATGGTATACAATATTCTTCCAAATCTCGGAGGACGATGCGAGGTATGGCCTCTTTACTCTCTGTGTATACTGGGGGAGTACGATAGTGAGTTTGGGAGAATTAGACTAATCCCATGGGTCTTTCTACTTTTCGAATCCTAAGTTTTGGATGTAAGTTGCACACACAGCCTTGAGGAGAATGAATCACGGAAGAATGAAGCTGAAAATAACAGATGTGGGTGTTTAAAGATAGTGTTTTCCTAATTTTAAAGTGGATATAATTTATGTTGAAGATTGCTCGAGTACCTTAAACGAGGTGACCTTCTCGTTCTTAATTTCGACTATGTGATTATTGAGATTCAATATTTAAAGCCAAAAACGTTAACTAATACAGTCGCTTTAGCAAGGTTTGCCCGCAGTCATTTCTCAACTACAATGCCATCTCAGCTTCATCTCCTTTTGCACCAGCCTCTGCTTTCTCCCCAAGCAACTGCTACATC